AAAACTCACATTTAAGAGCTATGGCCAGCTCTGGTGTGAAGGGCGTACAACAGTATAATCCCCGCTGCTAGGATGTGTAAAGGAAATGCGTCTATCAGTGCTGTCTGGTCATCCAAAGCTCCAGGGGAAATGAAAAGATTCGACAATAGTGCTCTCAGTTGGATAAAAGTAAGTAAAGGTAACTAGAGTAATACTTACAGGTGTAGAGCAGGAAATACTGCTCTATTAATAAGGCGTTGGTGGTATGATCCCCACCTAGGATTTCTTTAAGTGCAGGAACAATAATAAAAAGCCAGGAAAGTAAAAATTTAAAAAAGTGCATAAAAATACAATAAAAAGAGAATTGGCACAGTAAAGTAACCAAAAACCTTTATTTATTTTTTATTGTAATTTTTTTAAATTAAATTATATATCATAAAATATTTAACATAGATATAAAAACAACAAAAATTAATGATGATTCCTTCTAGAATCATACATCACAATAAACATACCGTAGTCACAGATGGATACCGCATTACAATTGTAACCATTATACAAGCTGTTATAGTCACATTCATATCTATACAGTAATACAAGTTACATATATAAGAGGACCTTAACATTTAGGGCTCATCGATTAACCTTTTCTTAATTTCTTGTTATTAAATCTCTCTTTTTCTTTTTTTTTCCTTTTTCCCTCTCTTTTCTTTCCTTTTTCCTTTTCTCTTTCCTTCTTTTTATTTATTTCTTATAAGTCCTCTATAAAACTGTATTAGTTATTTTATTACCCATGCATTTTTATCTTTTCTGTGATTATTTCTCATCCATACCAACAATTTAATTTGGGTTAGTTCTTATGACCTTGCATATGAATTTTTCCTTTTCACTCTATTTCCTCTTTTTCTCAGTTTTTTTCCTTTTCTCTTTTCTTTTTCACCTTCTCTTTCTCTTTCTCTTTCCTTTTCCCTTCTTCTCTCCCCTTCTTCCTTCCCTTTATTTTCCCTTTCTTTTTTCCTTCTCCCTTTCTATTCATCCTCTCTCACATTCACCTTTTCTTTTCTTTTTTTTCCTCTTTCATTTCCCTTTCCCTCTTTCTCTTTTTCCCTTTTTTTCCCCTTCCTTATTTTCTATCCCTCCATAAGATTAATATCTGTTATCAGAGTATTATACACCTCTCTTAATATGTTATTTTTATGAACAGTGTACCAGATTACTCCCTTTTCCATCTCCAATTGGTTTTGAATTTGGGCCTTTAGTTGGTATATATTGGGGATATCAGTTTTTTTCCAAGCTTTTGCGATCAGCAACTTAGTAGCCATAAGGCAATGAGTGATTAATATTTCGTTTTTCTTGTCTAATTTATTATTATACATGTGGAATAGGGCTATTTCTGGAGTAAAATTTAATTGGATATTACTTATTGCCATTATTATTTTAAATGCCAGGTCCCATAGTGGTTGAATTCTGGGACAGTTCCACCATATGTGTGTCATAGAACCATCCAAATTAAAACATCTCCAACAGTTGGGGGGATTATTTTGAGAAATTTTGTTCAACTTCTTTGGAACCATATACCATCTATAACTAACTTTAATAAAATTTTCCAATACATTTAGACAATGAATATATTTTTTGATTTTAAGAAAAGCAAGGCACCACAAGTTGAAATCGACCTTGGTGTCTAGCTCTCTCTCCTAATTTTTAAAAGCTGTGGGGGTATTTGCTCGATTAATATAATTTAATAAATCAAGTATTAGAGAATATTTATTTTCTGTAGTATCTATAGAGAGAATTTTTTAATTAAATTTCCTTTCTCCCCATTTTAATTTATAAGATGGTTCTTTAGAAAGCTCTTAATGCGCAAATAGTTAAAAATTTCTCTAGAAGGTAAATTCAGTCTTGATTTTAAACTAGGGAAATCTTCTATTTGGTCATTAAGATAGATGTTTTTAATACATATATCTGGGTCCCTATACCAATTTTTCAAGTTTATAATCGATCATGATATTTTCCACAGTTCTAAGAGAAATGGTATCAGGAATTAGATCTACAATTCCCAGTTTTCGTTTTACAGTATACCATTCGTTTATTGTCTATCAGCGCTGTCTGGTCATCCAAAGCTCCAAGGGAAATGAAAAGATTCGACAATAGTGCTCTCAATTGGATAAAAGTAAGTAAAGGTAACTAGAGTAATACTTACAGGTTTAGAGCAGCAAATACTGCTCTATTAATAAGGCGTTGGTGGTATGATCCCCACCTAGGATTTCTTTAAGTGCAGGAACAATAATAAAAAGCCAGGAAAGTAAAAATTAAAAAAGTGCATAAAAATACAATAAAAAGAGAATTGGCACAGTAAAGTAACCAAAAACCTTTAATTGATCTAAAATGCACAGTATAAAATCACCATTACGCGTTTCACCAAAAAGGCTTTCTCAAATGGCATAAAGAATATTCAACCTGGCTAGTACATTATAAAAAAGGCAAACATTGTTATGTATAGATAGATAGGGTTATAGATCCCTACTGTTATATTTGAAGTTAAAAATGAGCATTGGTTGAGGAGTTTCGACTGTGTAAAGAATTATCTGGCCGCTAGGTGTAATGGGAAGTGTAGTTCCCAGTGTAGAGATTGAGAGGTCGGCAGAAAAACGGCATCTCGAGAAGTTAGCAGACACAACCAGAACGTTTTTTGATAATGATAAAAGTAGTTTTTATAAAATTAATATAAGGAACACGGCAGCCATCTTGGTAGGGGCAGAGTTTATGGAGGAATGGTTCAACAAACTCAAAATATGTACCTTTGGACCTATGGAGACCCTAATTACAAAAAAAGTAAAAAAAAACTGTCCCTGTTGGACCAAGAAATTAACGATCTGAAAGACAAACTTATGCCATTCATGGAAACCTATACATATAAACAAAACTCAATTCTAATCGAAAGCAAAATTGAAAAAATAGAGATGGATACCAAACACTATACAAGGGATAAACACGACTATGCCAACAAGCAAGTAAGAACATATCATCTTAATAAAAAAATACATCTCTGACAACCATCCCCCTGCAGAATACTCTCCAGAACCTACTCTCCATGGCAGACCTCACACATTTAAACCACAACTCCAGTATACGTCACAACATCAACACTACATTGCACACAAACCTTTCCACCGTTCCCCATTCAAACCACGCACTCACAGAACCTATGATCATCACTTCCAAGCCCCCAACACTACCCACCACAAACTAGATACCGTAAACCATCATACAAACCTCCACGATCCCCCCACTACTACAATGTACCAGGCCTAGGCCACAAATATGATTCACCCAAACCCCAAAGACCACGTTACTACTAATCACAACTGATACTCTAACTACCTCAAATAACCTACCATTCCCAATCACCCTAACAGATTCCAACTCCTATCCTTAGACTCCGAAATAGAGAATGAAGACCATTTTTTAGAGATTTGCACTCACCCCAACTTACTAGCACAAACACGTTATCCGCTACGACCAAGAAAAAGAACCTTAAGCCCAGAGGAAAATGTAGTGGCAGACGAAAACAAGAGTGAGAGGCTGGAAAGGCAATAAACACCTCCAAAGAATCTAGTTGTGGCATTTTTAATCTATGTAATAAAAAATTTTCTGCCACCCAAATATCCGTCCTCAATAAAGGTATGAAATTTGCCCCAACAAATCCATTCAAACCGTTTAAAGCATTTTTAGATATCAATAAGTTTGCCGTTAAAGCCATCTTGAAGAATTTTTTTTTAATGAAAAACAGAATGAACTAGTAATTTTACCCCCCCCCCCACTATTTTACCAGTAATTTTACCCTGCCCAAATTGATTGTATATTAGAAGGAAACAATATCATTTTAAATAACAATTTTTGGCTTTTCGATTCATTTTCGCTCCAAAATAAAGGGACAGCTATGGGGACTAGGTTTGCCCATAGCTACGCCAACCTATTTATGACAGATTGGGAATCCACGGGCTATATGGGGCAAACATCCATTGCGGGCGAACCTAGCCACCAGGGGCGGGCTGGGGCGGGCTGGGGCGGGCTGGGGCGGGCTGGGGCGGGCTGGGGCGGGGGGCAAGGAGGCAATTGCCTCCCAGGCCGCCCTAAATCATGCTGAAAACGGCTGCTGTCCATTGGGGAACTGAGTGCACAGAGTGTCTGACACAGCTCACAGATCCCCAGTGCCAAAGGGAGCCTTGGCTGTAATAAAGCCGACCGAGGCACTATGAGCAGAGCCTTTGTCGGGGGAGAGTATGCAGCCGCATGGACTAATCAAAGCAGCTCCGTGCTGCTTGTTCCGGGGGAAGTAACGTAATGAGTCAAAGGGCAGCTTGAGCCGTGCCTGGCTGCCATGATGAGCAGTACAGGCAGCATACTGATTTCATGAGGCTCTACATCAGGTAGGGGAGGTCCTTATTAGCAATGTCTAGGATAAGGCTGGAGTGGGGGAAATTAGGAGAATACCTCTCCAAAGGAGGGGATTAGTTCACTATCTATGGGGGAGGGATTGAGGCACTATTAGGAGGGTGATTGAGGCATTATATATTGTGAGGGATTGAGTCACTTTCTATGGGGGAGGGATTGGGGCAGTATATATGAGGAGGGAGATTGGGGCACTATATATTGTGGAGGGATTTGGGCAGTATATACGAGGAGGGGGATTGGGGCAGTATATATGAGGAGTGAGATTGGGGCACCATATATGAGGAGCGGGATTGGAGCACTATATATGAGGAGGGGGATTGGGGCACTATATATATAATTTCTTACCCATAATATTCATTTTTTATGTACAGCCACTTTTATTCTTATTCTATTTTTATATTAGGGATATGTTTTTCCCACCCAACATGGCCACTTAACCCACTCCCCCTGCAATAGGTATTGGGTCTAAGGTCGGGGCTCTAGAGAAAACCTGGATCAGAAGGTCCTTTATGGACCCCCAAAACCCCTTAAGCTTCGGACATTCCCACCACATATGCAGATATGTTCCCTTATTCCCACACCCGCGCCAACAGTCATCTGTAGTGGTTTTGTGCATCTTGTATAATTTGACCGGGGTCACGTACCATCGAAACAATGTTTTGAAGGATTGTTCTTGCAATGCTACACATACTGATGTTGTTATGCTAGCCCCCCATATCTCCTGCCACTCCACCCCCTCGAGTTCCTCCCCTAGGTCCCTCTCCCATTGGGTAATATAAGACATCTCCCCCCACTCCCTCGCCATAGAGCAAAGGTGCGTGTAGAGCCGCGCTATGAGGCCCCTCGGTATGCTCCCTGTCTCGCACATAGATTCAAAGAAAGTCAGTGGTCCCTGTGCTATTGACTTGATATGTGGTTGCCTAGCATAGTCTCTAATCTGCAAAAAGTGGAAGAAATCCACTGGTGTTAGGTGTCTGTCCTGTCGCAAGTCTTCAAATGTTACCATGTCCGGGCCCCGGTAGAGGTGGCAAAGTCTCTGCAGGCCCGCGTACTCTAAATTCCTAAAATTCCTAGCCGCCATTCCAGGGGGAAACTCCTGATTTCATAATATTGGCGTAAGAGGGGAGGGAGAAGACGCCAGCCCATATTTTCCTTTACACGATTCCCACACCCGCAGGGAGTTCAACACCGCCGGACAGGTGACCCCAATCGGAGGTCTAAATTCCTTGGGCACCCACATCACAAACTGGGGCACATCTGTCCCCATCATAACCGACTCAATGTCCACCCATCTTCGCTTGTCCGGGGGGGAGTGCCAGAGAGCGCCACCTGGGCTAATTGCGCCGCTAAATAGTAGTGGTACAGATCCGGGAGGCCAAGTCCTCCTCTCGTCCGTGGCCTATACAGAACATATCTTGATATTCGGTGTCTCTTATGTTGCCATACAAAGTTTCCAATTGCCCGCTGGAGCGGGGCTAGCTGTGCCCTCGTCAAAGGGATCGGAAGCGCCTGGAAGAAAAACAAAGCCCTGGGCAGGACGTTCATTTTGACAGAATGGATCCGCCCTATCCAGGAGATTGGCTTGTTGATCCATCTGTCTATATCCCTCATTAATGCTTGCCATAACGGAGTATAGTTGCAAGCATAGAGGTCGTCCGGATCTGCAGTTAATTGAATTCCCAGATGTTTAACAGAACGCCTTTCCATCTTAATATTATGCTCCCTATGTATTTGGTCTATATCTTCCTGGGACATTCTAATGGGGAGTGCGCTTGATTTTTCCATGTTCGCTTTAAAGCCGGAGATTTCTCCGTATGTCGCTAGCACGTCCCGCAATGCCATCATAGATTCACCTGGCCTTGTGAGCGTTAAAAGTACATCATCGGCGTAGGCGGCTACTAAGTATTTCTTACCCCGCACCCCATGGATCTCCGGATGAGTTCGAAGCGCCTGCAGAAGGGGCTCTAGAGAGAGAGCAAAAAGTAAGGGGGAGAGCGGACATCCCTGTCGAGTTCCATTATGGAGCGGGAAGGGGGAAGGAGGCGCCCCCGAGACCCGGACCTGTGCTCTAGGATTACTATACATCCCCTCCACTACTGTGATATATGGCTCAGGGAGCCCCAGATGCTGTAACACTGTAAACATATATCGCCACTTAACCCTATCAAAAGCTTTTTCAGCATCTAGAGAGACTGCCAGCGTGGGCGTGTTCGTTACTGTTTGCTTCCAAATGAGGTCTATGTTTCTACGGGTATTTTCAAATAATTGTCGTCCCGGGATGAAGCCCACCTGGTCGGGGTTGATAAGGTAAGTCAAATGCGGGGAAAATCTATCGGCCAGTATTTTCGCTAGTATCTTCATGTCCTGATTTATGAGGGAAATGGGCCTATAACTACCTGGTAGCTGCGGATCCCTATCGGGCTTGGGAAGTAATATAATGGAGGCCAATGTCATGTCCGGGCTCGGGGCGCCCCCCCTAAAGTGGTTAAAAAGTTTGACCATATGGGGTATAAGCTCCTCTGCAAAGGTTTTATAATAAGCGCCATCAAACCCATCTGGTCCTGGAGCCTTATTCCCCGGCAGCCCCCCTATCGCCCTGCCCACCTCCTCCTCCGTGAGCTCTGCTGCTAGCTGTGTCCGAGCCTCACTGGGAAGCCGGGGCAAGGCCAGGCCGTGCAAATATCTGTGGATGCCGTCTGTCTCCTGAGCGCCCCTTTGGGTGTCTGCAGGCGTGTGATTGTATAATGTCCGATAAAAATCCCGAAAAACCTCTGCCACCTCCCCGGGTGTAGTTTTCAGGGAACCGTCGGCATGTCTTATCGAGGTAATGTGCATCCGTCTCTGTCGGGGCTTTAGAGTCCTAGCCAACATTGTGTCCATTTTGTTACTTTTTTCATAAAAGGACTGTCTAGTCCATGTCAACGACCGTGCTACATCGTCCAATGTTCTAACTTCATGCCTAATAGCCTCTACAGTCCTCTGTGCGTCTCCAGTGGGGTGGGTCTGGTGCCTCTGCTCCGCAGTCCTAAGGTCCGTAAGGAGTCTCTCTAGGGTTTGCGTTTTTAGCTTGTTCTTTTTTGTCGCTAACCGTATAAGGGCTCCCCTCACCACTTCCTTGTGTGCCGCCCACATCGTAGGTATACTAACATCAGGCGTATCATTAGTTTTAAAGTATTCCAATATCTCCGTA